GGAGTCATCGCTGATGTGAGTAAGGGCTAAACCAGCTGAAGAGCTTCTCCCTGGTTTAGCAATCCCCTAAATACAGGCCTTCCCTCGAAGGATGGCCTTCCTGCTAAACCCTCCCCGCTGGAACCTGCATTTGTCAAAGGGATGTCTTTTAGCTCTGGCCAGCACCAGGAGTCAAACCTGTTTCTAATTCTGAGTAGGAAGTCTGGGGTCTATCTTATGCTATTAAATATCTGCCCACAAAGTCCATTTTGTGGCTCTACCAACTGTGTTGTTTGTACAGCTGCTAGGCTGAATACAACCGTAAGTTTTTTAATATCTCTGAGTTTGCCATACGGATCAAGTGTGTGACTCCTGCCATCATCCCAAAGGATTTCTGCCTGGCGTGAAGTTCACCACAAAGTTTGTGGCATAAGGGGCTGCAGCCCTAGGGCAGTGAGCAGCCGGGAGGTGAATGATGGAGCAGGTCTCTTGCTGGCACCAAAACATCCTTGAACAGAGCTCCAAACAGACCTTTTATCCTTGCTACACAGAAGGGAAACGCCATTTCTTATTTCCCATTTAGTATGCAATCACTATTTGGAAAACTTTGAGGTTTGCTGTCTTTATGCCATGATCAGGGTGCGTGTCCTGTTACGGAGAGGTCTGCAGGAGCATGACGTTCCTGACCAGCATTTTCTTCAGCTCAGAGGTAAGTGCTGACAGTCCGGGCACTTCATATTCCCGGGAAGTTGTGCTGTAGTGAATGCTGAAGACCTTGGGGTGCAAGAAGCTTGTTTCAGTTTTGAGCTTCCTTTTCAGGAAGTGGCAAGAGATTGATGGAGTCCTGGAAGCACCCACACAAATCAATGTTACAGAAAAAGAGGGCAGGAGGAACTACTGGACCGGAGCAAAGGCGGCGGCATCCTGCTTTCTACCACTCTCTTACGACAACATTTAACAGAGACATGAATGTACTGATGGGCCAGCTATGGAAACAGCGTCTACTGAAGCTGTCAGTCAAATGCAAGGCTCAAATCCCTAAGAAACCAGTGGCAGCATTTAACCTCTGGCTGTGCAAATGTAAACGTGAACAGCAAATACCCTGTGATACATGCTGGCAGCGGGATTCCCCTGGTGACCATTTTACATTGTCACTCTCTGGCAAAGCAGTAACAGGGCTCCAAGTCATTTGTCATGACTGTGGGGTAGAAAAAAGCGTTAAGGCTTTATTCGAGAAAAGCAACTGTACTTTCAGTTTCACGCTGTAACAGACCACTCTGCGTGGTCTGCAGGTCCCATTATTTCACAAGCTTGGAACGGAACCTTTCCCCAACCACCGCATTACCCTGCCTGTCCCTGCCTCTCTTACTTAGCAACACTTTTCACTGGGTTCAAAATACTTTTGGATGGGAGTCAGGTCCAGCTTCAAACACCTCCTGCAGACATACCCACTGTGGGTTGCCTCCATGTGGGTGGGTTTCTAAGCTCTTGTTGCAACCAGTGGAGATTGTCCAGCACTGCGAGGGCTCCAAGAGAGCAATTCAGCCCGCTCCTTGCAGCAGGCACCTATAGGCAGCAGGGGAACTGCTCTTCTTGTCTCTGCTGACTGCACGGACTAGGTTTCCATTGGCATAACGAGAGCTGGGACGGCACACGTGTACACACCTGCCGTGCAGACACCTTCAGGTGGCTGAATCTGGACCTGAGTTTCAGCCTTAGCTGCATACTGTTCAGACAGCGAAGACTCATATTAGGTGTCTCAATATAGGTATCTAGTGCCATGTGGGGTGCCCTGTGGGGTGCCCTAGGGTATCTGAGACCTCTGCGGAGGACTGGCTAATGGGATACAGGACTTAGGGGAAACCCAAGCTTTCCTGGAGAGGCAGAAGGAAGCAGGGCAGGGCGCTGCAGGGCGGCTCAGGCTGCGCTAGATGCCAGGCCACAAGCAAGTGAATTGAGCTGCAGTTCAAACATGTCTCCTATGTTATCTGCGGGAAGACCAAGGTCAGTACGAAACCCAGAAGAGATACATGGATTCATACATGGAAATGTGCAAATGGAAAAGAGGATGCTGTGTGAGTTAATGGGCGAGTTCCTCGCGTGGAAGAGGAAGACTGAGACTGGCAGGCACTTGCTGTATCCATCAAGGCCTCATGGAGAAGAGAGACATGGGGGGGTGGTGCAGGTGACAACTATATCTTGGTGTTTCTACGTGCCGGTGTTTGGAGCACAGTCAGTTTTTATTCTGCAGTATGATATCAAACCTGGACTCGCGTGTAAACAGGACACCCTGAAAAACCTGGATGTCTAAAGTGTTTTTGCTGCTCTTAGTGCTAGTAAATCCAGACGTTTAAGGGGTTGGTGGTTTATTTACATTGCGCATTTTTGGCTGATGATGCAAGTAAACAAAGCATTAGCAATGTCTTATGGAGAAGAAACCAAGGCTGGGAAAGATGGGGTGATTTCAGTGATGACCCAGAGGAAGCGTGCAGCCGACCGAGCACCACACCCAGGTCCCTCAACTGCCCAGCCAGTATCTGAAAGAAGAAAAATGTTTTACCATTAGTTTTAAGGAAGTACCAAGAGAAGTCGCATTTTGTGCATGCAGTGAATCTCCCTTTCATCTAAAGAGCTATGAAAGGGAAAATGCTAGCAGACAGTGTGTTTTTGTCTTCTGCTAGAGGTGGAACTCCTGGGGTAGGTAAACATTAACATGATGTTCCTTTGGGCTTTTTACTAGGAGAAGGTCAAGTCCTCTGCAGAGGGATACTAAGCAGAAAGTCCTGTGTTTAGTATCAGGAAGATCTGCTTTCGAACAGGATTAAAGCTCATCGATGAGTAAGAAAGCAAGAAAAATGTTTTCACTAGAATTCAGTTTGTCCCTGGGTTTGTGATTTTCATAAGGTTCAGCTCCGGGATCTGTGTTGCTCTTAAAATGAAGTCGCTTACTTAAAAATACATTAGGGAGAGACTCCACCCCTTATCTGACCTTTGGGCTTTCTGCAATGGTTGAAAAGTACTGTTCTTAAGATTAACTCCCAAAAGCTTTCTCAATCCTTTGGCTACCCCACTCTGAGCCAGCACTGGGTCTGTCCTGAACTTCGTAAGGCAGCCCCTGTCATTGATACCTGACTGTTGCTAATTGCTGTATTGTTTCTCCCTGGGCTGAATGGTTTCTTTCTAGGCAGATGAATAAATCAGGTAAATTAATGTTGGTGGGACAGAGTGTTCTCTGACAGGAACCAAACCACTGTGTTAAAACAAATGAAAATAGGTTTATTTTTGCTCAATTCCATGTATGTCTGGCCAATTATGTATTGTACAGCTGGTTTCCGGACCCTGAAACTTTTACTGTTAGGGTGATAATGACTTGCATCAATATTAAGATTCAAAAGATTCATTAAGATTCAGGTTTTGAATGCAAATGACTAAAGAGGTGTTTCTGCTACTGAGATTTGAAAAAAAAAAAACAACCCAACAACCCAAACCCTCCTCTTACACAATCCTACTAAAAACACTAAAAAATTGCAGTTGTCCTTATTTTGTCATATTGTTTGACTTCATGCCTGAGTTATTTTAAGTGTATTTGATATCCAACAGATGGACTTCTGACACTACGTAGCTTAACATAAAAAGAAATGACTAAAGAGGTGTTTCTGCTACTGAGATTTGAAAAAAAACACCAACCCAACAACCCAAACCCTCCTCTTACACAATCCTACTAAAAACACTAAAAAATTGCAGTTGTCCTTATTTTGTCATATTGTTTGACTTCATGCCTGAGTTATTTTAAGTGTATTTGATATCCAACAGATGGACTTCTGACACTACGTAGCTTAACATAAAAAGGAGAGAAAGAATAACCCACTGTATAATGTAGCTGGGGTCAAAAGCTCCAGATCTCCCTGTTGACAGGACTGGGACTCTTCTCTGACCCCTGGCAGTGGGACAGTCCTGCCTGTCACTGCCACCTATGAACCAAGGTGAGGGGGATCACTTAGAAAGAGTTGGGGTTCTTATTGCTCCTTTTGGTTTTCTGCTATCCAGTCTCACTCATTTCTTTTGTGTGTTATCTTCTAGATCAGCTTCTCTTTCTCTCTCCCCCTCCTGAAGATAGAGTTTTGTTGAGAAACTGCTAAAAGCAAAATCTTCCTGTATACAGAATAATACAGTAGCATCTAACTCAAATTCTGTAATCGCCACAAGAATCTTAGTGAAAGCCTCAAGTCAAGGAAAAATTGATTTGGAAATGGATCCAGGTATAAATCTTTTAGTAGTGAGTGGGTTCCTTATAAAGTCGGTGTGTATGTCCTCCTAAGGGGATCATATATAGCTCACAAGCAGCTTAACATTTGGTTGCTTCATTTGTTTATTACGGCCTCATTCTGGCCTCAGTTTTATGAGGACATGTTTTTATGGACATGAAGTGAATGAAATAATCGGGATGAAATCAGAGTATGACTTTGCATGTTTACTTTTATCGTAAAGGAATACTTTGTCTCTTCTTGCCCCCCTCCCACGTGCCTCTGCCCACAGATACACAAATACACGCAGGTGGTGTTTCTGAAGGTGGCTGATGGCATAGCTGATGAATTGACCTGTGTCTGAAGCTCATGTGTAGAAGTTAAAGCATTTTAAAACCCCTTGTGGGAAGCCTCGTTGTAGAGTTCAGTGGTTTCTCGTGACACTGATCTAAGGTCAATTTACTCGTGGCTGCAAGAATTGTACTTTTTTTAATAAATGAGCTGACTTCACAGCTTTCCCTGATTTTTCTAACTTTCCTACAAGTCCCAGGTACAGACATATCCTCTGTTTGCTCTGGAGACGCCTCTCCCGTAATTGCTGTCCCTGACACATGCTCTTTTTGTGAACATTTGCCTAAACTCCCTCATCAAAATATAGGAGCTGAGCCTTTCTTGTGGTTCATCAACCATTTTCTCTTCCAGAACAAATGTCTCCTGAAGTTTAGCAGAAAGAAAATGCTGCTGTTAAGAATCTCTGTAGGGAGGATTACTGTTTCAGAACTGTGGTGTTTGATTTATTCAAACACACCCCTTTTTCTGCCCCAGGATCAGCCAGGTGAGTAAACTGTCCACGGTGAATGAGAAAGAGGATTGTCAGTTCTCCTCCATTTTTTTAAGAGATTTAATCTCAAACCATTTAGCCCCAATAAAGCAGCGGGTGCTCGGGACTGCTGCTTACCAGGCTGACTATGACAGCGAGTTGCTTTTCCTGGGACCATCGCCTCTGTCCTCCTTGTGTGTCCTCGTCTCTCGCAGCGTTTCCTTAACGTCCCCCCCTCCACTGGGACCGGGGTTTTGCTCTCTTTCTACAGCACTTCACACAAATTAATAACAAACGAGGTCAGGTTTGTAGAGAGGGGTTACATCTTCCATTTGATGAATACCATCCCTGGAGGTATTTAAAAGACGAGTAGATGAGGCGCTTAGGGACATGGTTTAGTGGGCATGGTGGTGTTGGGTTGACGGTTGGACTCGGTGATCTTAGAGGTCTTTTCCAACCTTAATGATTCTATGATTGACCAATTAATTTATATGTGGGTTTATATATGGGTTACTCAATTAGAAGATGCCACCTTTCCCTGAAAAACGTGACTTTTTTGGAATTTGCATGCCCCCACACCCACAGCACGCAGTGACACCCTCCCCCCCCGTCCCCCCCAAACCCCTTTGGCTCGTTTGGAAATGCTCCTCCTCACCTTTACCGACCACCTATTGATGTGCCACGGTGGCTGTTAACGGGCAGCCACGGCAGGCACCCATCAAAAACTGGTTTTGGCCAGAATTTAGCACAGGTCAGGAGCCATCAGGGCTGGCTGGGACCCTCCTC